TCACCAGAAGAACAGACACATTTCCAATCTCAGAGTGTTCTGATTAAGGTAGGTTTTTTTTTTATCTGAACCACTCAGTAAAGTAAAAGACAGCTTCCATTTTGACGAGTATCACTGTACCCATGTCCCGCAGTCAAGACAAAGAGCCTTTATATTGTGGTATGAATAAACAATGTGGGCAGTAAAACACCACTTGATATAAGGGTAGACATAAAAATGCTTTTATAATGGTGTTTTGTAAGTAGGAGATAAAATTATGTACTGTAAAACAGGTAAAAGGAAAGTAACATACAAAGGACAGGAAGGCAGAATTGAACGGTCTTACCTGTAAATTCAAGAAATGGCTAGGTTCAAATGATACCACTCTATTTACTATCAATGAGACTTGAGTCTCAGTATTTCTTTGCATGTAAAATGGGAATACACATATCAATTATTATAAGGACCATACAGGAGATGCTTAATTAATGTCAGTCTCATCTCCCTTACCTTTAATATTAATGATTATATATAATGGTGTTAAATTATAGGTGACTTCTTGCTCCTTCATTGTCCAAACTGCTGAAAATACTTTTTAAGCATGTATAAAACTTCTAATATTTCATACATACAGCTCTTCTTGTGAATTTAAAATTACTTTTACTAGTTGCTTTTACAATTTTCTAAAAAGCTTACAATTTGTGATGTTTATGGAGTTAGGTGGTCGAAAAAAAACTAAAACAGGAAATAAGCTTAAGTCTATACCACAGCACAGACAAGTACAAAATGGCAAAAGAAAATGCTGTTTTGGGGCCTCCCTGGTGGCACAAGGGGTTAAGACGCAACTTGTGAAGCTGCCCTCACCCCCTGCAGCACAAATTCGATTCCGGGCTGGCCAGGGAGCAGTGGCCAGGGAGCGAGCAACCTCTCCTGACTCGCCCACGGATACCCTTAGGAGTGTATTTCAGCCAGTCTGCCTGTTCTGCCCCCCATGCTGTCTCTGGTGAATCCTCTCACCCCCCACACCTCTGTCCTGTACCCCAGTTCTTACATGCATAAATAAATAAATCTTTAAAAAAAAAGAAAATGCTGTTTTGAGGAAACGTCCCCTACCAAGGCAAAGAAATAAAGATAATACTCCTTTCCTCAATCTAGGTACTGTTGAAGCAAGCCACTTACTCTCATCTGAAGTTGCATGTATATTACATACAAATACACATTCACTCTCTCCTCTCATCATCACCATCCTCATAGTCAAAAATTTACAAAGTGGAGAATTCAGGATGTTGTAACAAAGACAAACCAACACATTGATTAGGAAATAACTTTACTAAAAATGCACTCATTCCCAAGTGCATTTACTCATCAGCTGGCAGTCATAAAGGGAAATGTTTTCCTGAAATACAGAACCTGGTTTATAGCTTTTGATGTTAGAACTGGAGAAGGCATAATTTGATGCTGACCTCTAACTTCCATTTTTACAATCTTGGGTTTTGGAGACATGGGCCTAAAAATGGAGTATTAGCAAAAGTATACAGCTCCAAGTCATTCAGATAAAAATTTCAAGTTAGTGTAAGAAAAAATAATTAAACAATGGTAACAACTATTATTATTACTTCAAAAGCTAACATTTATTCAGCATTCATTGCATACCAGAAAGACAAGGACTTTATATGAATTATGTAAACATTAAAAAGCCTACATACACAAAGATAGTATTATTGTTAAGTCCACTTGTTTAGTGTTCACAGCTAGACTTTAACCCCATCAGCTTTACTTTAAGGCTTATTTTTAAACCTGATCCCATCTGCCCCTTTATTTACATATACAAATTACAAATGCAACGATTTTCTCTATTTAAGTGCGCATATATCGCATATATGTTGGGGGTGTTTATGTATGTAATTTAGAAAATCAACAGTAACCAAAAGGCAATTAATTCCAACTTTGGCAATGCTTTTTGTTGACCTTCACAAATCATTCAACAGCAGGGAATCACCCCCTTCCTCAAAAAGTATTTTGAAAAACATATTTTACATCTTCCTCAAGAAACTGATGAAAAGGATACGCAGTAAGCTTTCAAGAAAAAGGATCATCATAGAAAAGATAAAAATATTAATCCTTTATAAAATTAGGTAAGCAATTGATATACTTTGTAAACTGTGAAGTACTTTAATCTTGACACTTTACTGGGCCTTTTTTATTTCAAATGATCTGTATGGTTCATAACATATTTAAGCCTGGCTCTTGTACAAAGTCTTTCAAAAGCTGTATTTTCAACGGCAATGAATAATGCACATACTAAAAGGCTTAATATCTAAAAATCTATTTACCACTCTCATTCTAACTAACTTCAATTATATCACTATCTAGAGTAACAGAATTAAATCTCAAGGAACAAATCATTTCTCTATGCTTTTAACAATTATTTACTAGATCATAATTCCAATCCCAAATGAAACAGGCAGGCTACAGCTTGTAGATAGAAGAGGTAGGGCAAAGATTAGCAGAGGGAGAGTGCAAAGGAAATCTTAAACTAATCTTGATCCAGTCTCACTTCCCCCCATACTTGAGAAAGCAAGCACTGCTGCTGCTTTCTGCCCTGCCATGCTCTTCTCCTCTTCCTTTTAAAATCCTGTGTTTATCCTACTGGAAAATTTATCTCCCAGGATTTTTTCTTTGTCTTGCTATCACCTCTCAATTGTCAAAGGACCTATTACTTATTCTGAATTTAAAAGCACAAAACATAACTCTCCATAATCATTTTAGAGTTCCCAGTAAATTGAGGGGGCAATACCACCACAGTTCAACTTTGGCAGATCTAAAAAAAAAAAAAAAGTTAAAATTTCACAGTCGGTAGAGTAACTGAGGTCCTAGAGATAAGAAAAAACCTTTTTCATGAAGACTTCATCTTCCTGAAGACACTTTGGATTGAATCTGAACACCTTCTACAGTTCCAGTGATCTGTCTTCAGGTCTGCTTTTTTTTCCCCCAAAGAGGAAGAGAAGTACTTTAGCCAACCAGCAGGGTGAGCTAGTGCCAGAATCAGTTAAAATTATTCCCAATTCACTCAAAGTTCAATTGATGTGAATGGTTTATACTATTATTATTCCCTCTAATAAACCTGAATTCAAAGACACTACTTCTAGAACAGCTTCGCTCAGTGCTACATCTCATAAATTTGTTCAATATTTACAGATTCTCCATATGCACAACATTCTCAACACCAGAGGGATTAATGATAATATAAAAACAATTACAGTTCATTTGAATAGCTATCCAAATTTTTACAGAATCCATCCTTTATTCTCATGTTTTATTATATAGGGCTGTCAAATTTAAAAATTTTTTAAAACTTTTGAAAGACTCACTAAATGTAGTATATCTATGTAATTGGGGCTGGATAATTAAACATTTAGTATCAGCTAGAGCTTGCCTTAAGGTGTCATGAAAAAAGTATTCCCACACTCAAGAATAAGACTCACTCTTTCTCTCTGGAATCACATCCTGAGAGAAGTCTAAATAGTAACCCTAAACACTTAACAGACTATTGGGGATGAGAGAAAGATGAACCTTATCTTTTCTATTTTCTCTGAATTAGATACCCCAAGCACTTTCTGTGACACTCCTCATGTCTGTTTTCTCCCCTCTTGTTAGCCAATAGTTTCAATTCAACTACAACTAAAACTCTTATAACTGAGATAAATTCAGTCTCCTAAATATGTAAGGTTTGCAGGTGAGAGTTACTTTATAGTTACAAATATATCACAAAGCTAGTGTCATTAAACCCACTCACACAGTGCTGAAAATTAATAGCTTATAAACTAAGAAAAATCAATAATTTAAATGCATCTAAAATGGTCCATAAAAGCTTTAAAACCTCAAGAAAACTGAACTGTTTTAGTTAAATATGACATTCAAAGAAGTTAAAGATAACTATAGGTTCCCACCCCATAGTTACAAATAATTGTATCACTTGTTGAATTTTCTATAGATCTTATGAAGCTACTACTCAACAGCAGCAGTGATCAGTCTTAACAAGTTTTTAACATGGCAAAGTCTAAGTGATATGGCCATTTACCCAAGTAAAATGCTATTACAAAATGAAAGGCACTGACATCATTATTTGCAGCACCTCATGTCTTAGGTAATAACTGGTAGTAATAGCAGATAGCTAAAACTTTCCAGTAAGTTTATCAAGCTGTTTTTTTTTCCCCTGAAATCATAACTGCTTTTTTAGAGCCTCAAAATTGAAAAACATTTGTCTGAAATGTGTGCATTTGTAACTGAATTTGTTTCACTGAAAGTCACTTTAAAACTAAGTCCCCATATCACTTTAAGTTTTCAAGGTTGAAGAGAAGTTATCACTTACATAATAAAACACCTAACAAGTATTTCCAAATACACTCCCTGCTTTGTTTAACCATTTTTAGTGAGATAATCACTCGCTCATCCCAGGGATGTGATCAATGAAAAAAGCAATAGCATTGAAATTGACACAATTTTCTCTTACGCTACTAACTTAATCTCTATCTCTGATTCTCAATATCTGGTAAAAGAGTGGGGTAAGACAAGTCAGTTAACTGTTTTGAGATTCCTTCCACTCTAAAACTCAACACATTTTGCTAATTATTCACTGATCACCTATGCAAAAATTGCTTTCTACTGAAAGGTAAAAGGAGGAAAGATCATAAAAAGGTGGAAATGAAAGATTCAATTTGAACAGAGATCTCAAGTATCCTAAGTGTGTTTAAACATCCCTTCAATCATGTGTTAACATGACCTGGGCAATACACAAAGTACAATGTACCCATAAAATGCTGTATGACTTTATGTTTGATATTCTGGAACTTACAATGCTTTTAGCAACACTACCCTTAACACTGTATTAATACTAGTCAAGTCTTCATGTTTCACCTATTAAAATGTCTAACCTAAATTATGATTTCTTCATAGGAACTAATTTTTTTACCAAACCTACCAAGGCAGTATTGTTGCCATGAAGTTCCCTGGATACTTACACATGACATTGAAGGTAAACAGCAGGTTTCCTTTCTTTGAGTAACTTGAGTTGTCTATTTTTTCAAATGCTTTCCTTCTTGTGGGATCGAAAAATAACTAAACTACTGCAGAGAGGCAACATACTTATTAAGGTGAATCTAATCTATCATCCAAAGGCAATAAGCCTGGCATTAGTTAGGACTCGCCAGAACAGATGATGGTGTCTGGAGACTTCTGTTGAGATTATTAACTTTATAGAAAACAGGACCATCATTTGGGCCCCCAACTGTTTATCCCCGCCTGGTATGCTTCTTAAAGGCCACACAAAATTCGAAGTCTACACATAAAAGTTTTATAACAACTAAATTGGTGTCAATATTACTTAAACAGTTTATAAAAAGTTTTCCACTACTGCAGCTAAACCATGGATGGATCCCAACACGAGAGTCGTCTCTGGAAGTCTCGTAACGAGAAACCTTTAGCTCCACCACCCAAGTTTCCAAGCACTGAGAAGGGTCTGGGGCAACTCATCTTCAGGTTCACGGGAGAAGTGGAGCACACCTGCTTTCCTCTGGCAGAGATTAAGCTCCCAGGGACACAAAGGCCAGGGAATCAGACCTGGAGAAGCAAAAAGCTTTAGCTGGACACCCACCAAGCCCCTGGCAACCCAAACACTGAGCGATTTACCTCTTGCTGTTACTTCCCAGGCACCTAGTGGCATAAGATCTCGCAGAACCGGGGCGAGGGGAGGGCTCAGCAGTCCTAGTCCCATGTCAGGGGAGGGGTGTGTACAGTAAACGCTAGAGCCGGTGCTGCTGGCCAAGAGGGAGCAGCCCCGAACGGAGGGGTTGGGGACTGCTCTCGGACCGCCCCCGTTACTCAGTGCATTGCAATGGCGACCGCCAGGCTCCCCAAGCCGAGTGATCGCGGCCCCTTCCCCCAACTGCTCACTGGCTGCTCAGCTTCATGTGACTAAACAAAACCCCCAAGTCTAGTGCCCAGCTCAGCCCCTTTGTGTCCGCTACCGGATCCTCCGTCGCCGCCGAGGAAAGGCCCCCCGCCCCCACCCCGCCTGCGCCGAGTCCCGCCCCGCGGCGGCGGCCGCCGCTCACCTCAGGCTCCGCCGCCCCCCGCGGCCGCCGCGGCCGCCGCCTCCCCGAACCCGGGGCCCGGGCTCCTTGTGTAGCACCAACTCCGCCTCCTCGGCCGCCGCCGCCATCTTAGCCTGTGCGGCAAAATGCGTCCTTTCGGATGGTCGGGACCCAGCCTAAGGCGTCACTCCCCGGGCCGCGCGCCGACGGCCGGGCCGCCCAAGTTCTTCCGCCACCCTCCGTCCCGCCGCCGCCACAGCCCAGAGGCCCGAAACCCACTCGGCTCCCAGCGATTCCGACCAAATAACCCCTGAAACTCACAGTTTGGTGCCGTGTGCGTCAAACCGGGGCGACGTTGGGAACGCGCGGCGTCCCCGCGTCACACGCCGCTCTGTACGCTACTCGGCTCCAACGGCCCCCCTCCGCTCCCCGCTTTTCGCCTCAGGCCCCGGTTCCCACGGCGCAGGCGCGCTGCTTTCCCGCCTCTGCCGGGCTGCGGGCCGCGGGGGTGGCCAGCGAGGAGCGCCGGGGCGGCTCAGCGCCGCTGGAGCGCCTGGGCCAATTAGACAAACGGGGGCAGCAGAAACAGTGCACCACTGTTCTCGGGTGCCAGAAACAAACAAGGTCACCTCCCCCAGCGCTGACCTAATCACTCCCAAGGAGGTTCCCGCCCCAAAGTAGGCACGCTCCAAATATGGTGGTGCCCAAACTCTGCAAGACCCGAACACTTAGGCGAGCGTAGGCCCTTTAAGGTGGAACAGGCCCGTATTTCATTTCCACAAACACTAGCGGGTCGCAATTCCTTTTATTTTCCTGCTGTTTGGGGGAAACAGCTGAAGAACTCAAGATTGCCAGTCACAGCTGTAGAGCAAGGTTTTGGGATCTTAACGGGACCCGTTGGGAGATGCTTAATGGGCAGGCAAAGATCAAATGTGGCATCTCAATTAGGGGAACAGCCTGCCCTCTCTTGGGCCATGTGTTTGTCCAGTTCAATTCTGTGAAGATACCCTCTCCCTGCTTTACAGAATGTGATGGGGGGGCGGAGGGGGTCTCCAAATTAAAGTTCTATAAGAAGCACCTGAGATCTGGTTAACCCTTCAAAGAATTTGCAGGTCTTGAGAGAGTTCTGGAAATCTTCCTTTTTAACACGCATCCGCACGGAGGGGTCTGATGTTTCACAGACCAGGGTTAAAAAGCACTCATTAGGGCTACTCCCTTTTTCAACTAAACTAAATGAGAAGTTGCTACCATGTTTGACGTGAACAGTAGTTCCCTAAGAAGCTGTTAGTCCTACTTTAGTAAATTCTTTGACTTTTTTGAATGTTTCTTCATTAAAAAAAAAGTTTTCACTAGCTTAGCAGCTTATTCATACATAAACTTCACTTCTACAAATCCCCTAGATGTTACTGACATTCAGAGGAATACACTATAATTGCACTTATTTTGACAAGAATGATCAACATTCGCTTTCCTTTAGGGTGGTGACTTCAGCAGTAGCAGCAAACATGGATTCCAAACAGATATTTGCATTTGCTGAATGAGTTAATAATAATTGCTAACACTTTTGAGTGCTTACTGTCTATATATTAAGCATGGTTCTAATTCATTCAACTCATTACAACATAATGAGGCAAAAGAGATTAGGTAATGTTCCCAAAGTCACACAGCTCTTTAACTCTTTCAAATGGGTAAACGATAAAATATAACTGAATAATTTTTTTCTCAGACAGTTTGTGGGGGTGCCCTTTGGGTCATTTTGTCTGTAGAATCCATTAAAGTTAGACATTCTCAGTTTATTACTGGACATACAATAAATGAAAATATTGTATATGTGGAAATGGTTCATTCTAGCACTACCAACATAGTTACCAAGAACAAAAATTCTCTGCTGGAATGGACACCACTGAGTAATTTTCACACAGATAACTCCACAAGCAGATAGAATCACTTAGAACCCAGCCATGATCAGGAATTTGTTTCACTAATGAAGCCATTATAAATACTAGAATCCAGTAACAAAACTGTAATCTACAGAAATAGGAATAGTATAAGTCATAGTAGTAATTGTAACAATAAGAGTAGTAAGAGTTGACAAAACTCTTTATAAAAAAAATAGATGGAGGGGCCATCCTGGTGGCCTAGGGGTTAAGTCTCAGCACTATCATTGCTGTGGCCTGAGTTCAATCCCCAGCCAGGGAGCTAACCCATATATGGGAGAGCAGACCTCTCCTTTCTCGCCTGCTGGTCCCCTCAGCAGTGTATTTCAGTAGACCTGCCTGTTCTATTCCCCACTCTGTCTCTGGTGAATCCTCTCACCACCTCCCCCTTACACCCTTAGCTTATACATCAGTTCTTTTATGCATGCATGCATAAATAAATAAATCTTTACAAAAAGGAAAGAAAAGAAGAGATGTCTTAAAAAAAAAAACTTTCTATGAGTGTGAGAAAACTTGAAAAGGGCAGGAAGTTTGAATACAAAGATGTAAAAAGAAAGAAAATGCAGGCTACTGGAAAAATGCAAGGGTCAGTTATGTGGCTCAATACAAAAATATTTCAAAATGTTCAAAGGAAATTGGAGCTGTGAATGAAAATCAAGATGTGGAAAACAGTTGGACCCTGGAAGAAAATTCACGAAGCACATATACTTACTGCAATAAAATAATGCTTTGATGAATACACCTGGTGGAGAATCTTTAAAAACAAACTAAAAAGGAATGAAAAGCAAGAACTGGTTATTGTTGATATGTTAAAATCTGACAATATTAACTCCATATGGGAATCCACTAGTTATTCCAGTGAATGGAATTGCTGAATGAAATAAACTATGGGCTCAAATGACCCAATCAAAAAGAAGATGCAACTTAATGTCGCCTAAAAACAGAAAATTACCACATTCCAATACTTATGAATTCCAGTCAAAAAGAAAATAATGAAATATTGATTAATCTACTATTTCAATAGTAGTAATAAAGCCAAATCTGGAATTTATCTAATGTTCTTACTAGTTCTGGACCTTCCTCTGATTATCAAAACTGTAAGACAGTCTCATATGTAGAATCGCATGTATTACAATATGGCAATAATTAGGAAGGAGGTAGTAGGATGTTTGACATACAAAAGATGAAAAAGAAAACAGAACAAGACTTCTATTTCTTTTTTGTATTAAACTAACCCTGACTCAGAGTTTTACATATAGCAAGCATGCAATCAATATTTCTATTCAATTCAATCAATATTCACCAACTATTTACTCTATACAAGGCACTGTACTAGTCACTGTCAGCAAAAAGAGGAATAAGGCAGTCTCTTGCTGATATTCAGTAAGCAGAAATTGAATGGTAGAGGATCTTTTATAGTTCAATAAAAGAACTAGACAAAAAGATACAATCAACTCTCAATTTACCCTGCAATGGAAAGATGAGAAAAATAGATAATCAAAATTTCAAAATCAAGGTTAAGATAAACATGGTATAAAACAGGTTTATCACACACATATATTTAGTGAAAATTGTATCTAATATTTAGGTACATATTTACCTACACATCAGCATATCAGAAGTAAACTCTAAGAATACATGAGCTTGTTCACTGAACACATGTAGAGAAAGAAAATAGTGGGCCATGGAACTTAGATTAAAAATATTTAAGGAATGGGTAGAGAACTCCAAGAAAATAAGAAATGAAGGGACAAAGGAAAAGAGGATATTCAGGCTAGAGTACAGCATCACAGAAACCAATAAAGTATTGTTAATAGTTTACTACAGGGGCCTCCCTGGTGGCCCAAGGGGTTAAGACACAACCTATGAAACTATCAGCAGCCACTGCAGCACAAGTTCGATATCCAGCCAGGGAGCAACCCACATGGTGCAGCAGATCTCTCCTGACTCGCCCACTGCTCCCTTCAGCAGTGTACTTCGTCAGTCTGCCTGTTTTGTTCCCCACTCTGTCTCTGGTAAATCCTCTCACCTCCCACACCTCTGGCCTGTACCACAGTCCTTATATGCATAAATAAATAAATCCTTTAAAAAAAAAAAAAAGTTTACTACAATAACAAAAACCCCTGAATCTCAGTGGTTTAACACAATGAAGTTTCATTTTTTTTAATTCACTTCACACTCCACTGAAGACAGCAGGAAGGGTAAAGGAGGCCTTAACCTTAAGAGCAGTTATTTGGGTATCTAAGTTCTTCCATCATATGACTTTGCCATCTCTTGACTTCTCAGAGTCTTCTAGGGAACCTTCTGCAGAGAAAGAGCACACATGGAGATCATGAGTACAGTAAGCTGAAATGACCAGGCCCAGAAGTGGGACACATCACTTTTCTCTTTCCACCAGTCAGCACTTTAAGCACATGGCCTCACTTAACTGCAGGGGGAGACTAGGAAATATAGTTGAGCTGATTGCCGTGAAGGAAAAGAAAATGGAGTTTGTGAGCACAGAGCAGGGTCTCTGCACACGTGAGTATGGTAGAGATGTTATTGAAGATAAGAAGTATCCATTGGGTGTACAAGGTCATTGGTAACCTTGGTGAGAGCAAGGGAGAAGAATGGTTCAGTCCACTCAGTCATCTTGGGAGTTAATGAAAAGGAAAGGAGAAATAATAATCAGAACTGGGTCTGATTAACTATGGAAACCTAGCAAGACAAGCAACTAGACTTATAAGACTAAGAGATTAATCTGAGGCCATAGGTAAATGCTATTGCTGAAGGATTCTTGGCAATTAACTAGCTAGCATTCTCCTACTAAGAAACCACCATCACTTGGCCTTCATCAAACTTCCACACATATTAAGCTTGAAAAATGCCTTTATTGTTTATTTTTTCCAGAGTGAAAGATTCCAGATGTTCTGGAATATTTGGTTGAGAGCCATCCAAGGGAAAAGGGCATCTGTAATTTCAGCCATCCCATGTGCTTTACCAAGAGAAAATGAACATAAAATAGCAAGCCAATGTATTACATCATCTGTATTGATCTCCCTTGCAATCAATTATTGAGAGATAACAATTGTAGAAATATATTCCCTTAGCTACATGGTAATCATTAGAAATTGGATTTTGATATCACTAGTTTAATTTTAAATGAAATTAAATGCATTCAAAATGAACCTAAAATTCTCTATCATAGATTGTTTACTTAAATTTTCTAAATATGTTGTCAAAAAGGAAAGAATGATGGATGTAACCTTCAAAAATACATTAGGAAACATTTAGTACTAAGTAGAAATACAGTTCTAAATATATAGCATGATAATGTTATTTTTATTTTTCAATTCTCTTTTTATTTCAGGATATCAAAATTTGTTTCACAAACTCCTGTCATATACCTTCCTAGTTGCCACACTTCACCCTCAACACAGAAT